CTGTGCTTTCTCTCTAGTGATTATAGTGTCAAACTGGTGACTAGACAGAAGAACACCCCGATGTCCTTTGTGAGTGTGTTAGAATGTGGTGGGTGCAGGCATTTGTGCCACAGCGATCGGGAAATTCTTGCACGCTGTTGTTCTAGTAGATGAACACGCCTTTTAAAAGCACAGTGTCACCACTCCGTGAAGGTTTGGAGATTAAGTGTTGGCTATTGGTGGGACTAATGAGTATAAGTGACTCCAAAACGAAACCGTTTGTACAATTTGGTGTTCTTTCATAGCATCAGTCACCTGACCTTGTGTGTATGTGAGTGTGTGTGTGTGTGTGTGTGTGTGTGTGTGTGTGTGTGTGCATGTCCCATATTAGACATGATAGGGTTGCTTTTCTGTGCTGGGGACTGAACTCAGTTTCTCATTCCTACTAGGCAAGGACTATACACACACACACACACACACACACACACACACACACACACACACACACACCACACTGTGCTATGAAGCTGTACTTGGGTCTGACCAGTAGGATTCCTTGTTGGAGGGGAACTGTTTTGTTTGTGTGGTGTGTGTGTGTGTGTGTGTGTGTGTGTGTGTGTGTGTGTGTGTGTGTGTTGCTCTGTAGTGGACTATTAGCCCGTGACTATTGTCTTTGGATAGCAGCTCCCTTCATTCTGTCTCTGTTTCCATGCTTACTTTGCCAGCTCATGTCTTTTTTTTTTTTTAAGGTTATTTAGACAGGTTCTCACTCTAACCCAGGCTGACCTGGAACACACTATACAGCCCTGACCAGCCTTCAACTTAAAGCAATCCTCCTGCCTCAGCCTCCCAACTGGTGCGATTACAGGTGTGAGCCATTAAACTAGCCATCTCAAGGTTTGAATTTGTCTTTGTATCAGCACATCCATCATGAAACTTTGTGTTGGGTCTCTCAGTTAAAAGGTTAGGGCTGCCACATGCTGCCAACAGCCTCTTCCAGAACTCTCCCCTCCAGGACCCTCCCCTCCACCCCAGAAAGTCCCCAGCGCTTCTCTTTCCTGTTTCAATTCATTTAGAGTTCACTTTTGCCCTGAGACTGGGACATAAGTCTCTCCAGGGTCCTTAGCTGTGTTTTCCTGTTTCCTTCCAGCACTCTGCTGGCCTCTTTATTACAGGGGATTTGGCTAATTACTTAATTTAGAGAAATAGACCGGGGTTCGTAAAATAACAAATAGGAGTGATGTAATTAAGTTTCCAGCTGGTTTCAGAGTTGGTTGAGTCATTATGGAGTTCCTTATTGATTTTCTCCCACTGTGCTACAAGGGAGGCAAGGCGGTGCTGGAGCAAAGGGCCACCTACACTTCTGGGAGAGGGCACTGGAGTGGCACCAGGCGCTCACACCATTTTTCAAAATGGTGTGCCATTTACATCCACGTCCAGCTTTTCCCTTTCAACTGCATGCTTTCTTTGTACTGATCCTTCCTTTTGTGATTTCTCACTTCACAGCCTCCTGATGGGACGCGGAGGACAATCAGATCCCTCCTTGCCTAGTGTCCATTCCTCTCCCTTGGGGTCCTCATGGTAGAAAGAATCACACTCTTTCTGAGACAGGATCTCATGTCGAGTCCAGGCCAGTCAACTGTTTCTGTCAGTGGGGTTGATCTTGAACTGTGGCCCCTCCTGCTCTCACCTTCCAAAAGCTGGTTTTATAGGCATACCCCACAGCACCCGGGGCTTTGTGCACAAGCACTCCCTCAACTGAGCTACAAGCACCACAGTGTGATTTCTTCGTGGGAACTTTGGGAATTCCCAGAAAAGTCTAGTGGGCAGTTCCTCCTGATTGTTATGTCAACTTTCTGAGCATGTTCTGAGCAACTGCTGTTGTGCCTGAGGTTGTGTGGGAGGGAGCCTGTGTTCCAAGTGGCCCTGTGATCTTTCTCACAGTGTCACTGTAACTGGCCTGTCATCACAGAAACGGTTTTGTTTTGCTTCTCAGCTTTACTGAGGTGAAACAGTGTGACTCATACAGTGTATGGTGGTGGATGAATTGCAGCAATTGTTCACGGCCTGTAACAACACCACACGGAGATCTGGAACAATTGGTTCCCTTCCGCTGAGGAATCCCTTCCTGTCCTTTGTGGTCAGTCTCTCCCCCTGTGGCTAGCCCCATCAGCCCCATCTGCTCTGGCATCAACTTTGGGATCATGCGGCTGGCAGCTTTTCACTTGCAGAAGGGGCATGGTTTTATATTGCCGGTCTCTTCCCTTTGCCGCTGTCAATTGCCATTTGCTGGTGTAAGGCACCGGTATGTCTTGGCTTTTTGAGTCAGGGTCTCATATATCAAACTCGCTGATGAGGCTAAGATGACCCTGAACTCCTCCACCCTCCACCTCTGGATGTCCGGGGTTACTGGTGTGTACAGCCATGTCCAGTTTATACAGTGGTGGGGATGGGACCTGGGACTGCATACATGCAAGGCAAGCGGTCTACCAACTGAGCTATACGCCTAGCCCAGTTTTTTGTTTTTTTTTTTTGGTTTAAGATTTATTTATTTATTATGTGTACAGTGTTCTGCCTGCATACCAGAAGAGGGAACTGGATCTCATTATAGGTAGTTATGAACCACCATGTGGTTGCTGGGAATTGAACTCAGGACCTCTGGAAGAGTAGCCAGTGCTCTTAACCCCTGAGCCATCTCTCCAGCCCCAGTCTTGGTTTTTAGAGACAGGATCTCGTGTGGCTCAAGCTAGTCTTGAACTTGTTGAGGATCATATTATACTTGTAATCCTCCTTAAACTTCCTGAGTGTCGTGTTTACAGGTTTGTTCTCCCACACCCAGTTTAAGGCACCAAAGTGTCTCAAATAAATTTGCTATAAACTTAAAAGTATATGAAGTGGTTGATTCTTTTGTAGGGCCTAGAATGACCTATGAAATATTAAAACTCCTGCTTAATTCTCTCTACCTTTCTATTACTCTCAGCTTTGGCCCTGGTTTTCTGTTTTGAGAGAGGGCTTACGGGCTGAAAGTGTATTCTTGAACAGTATGTATTGCAAGTGGTTCAAACGTTCAACTAAAAACAATACATTTTTTCATGGTACTCTGGATTGGCACCTAGGCTGGCCTTGAACTTGTATGATCTTCCTCTTGAGTTTAGGCTGGTCCTGTGTCTACTCATCTCTCTCTGCACAGCTCAGATTATGCCCTGGGATTCCTAGTTGCCCTCCCAAACCTCAGCAAAGTGGTCTGTAGCTGGTGTAGTTTTGGCTTTGTTTCTATTAGTAAAGTATTCCCAGTTCTCCAGGTTCCTTTGGATTCACACCACTGTTTTTTCTGTTTGGTTTTTGGAAAGGGTCTTGTATTGTAGCTCAGTCTATCCTAGAACTCTCACATGTAGCCCAGGTTGACTGAAATCCTCCTGCCTCTGTTTCCCAAGCGCTGTGATTATAGTGATGTATTATCGTGCTGACTTAAATTATTTTCTTCTAATATGACAAAGGATATACCCCTGTTTTTATTTTACTCCTTATCTCCCTTTTGGTTTGGTTTTGTTTGGTTTTTGTTTTTGGAGGCTAGACTAGACTCAAATTAGCTATTAAGCTGGGGATGACCTTGAATTTACAATTTTCCTGCCTCCATCTCCCAAGTGCTGAGATTATATAGCTGTATGCCACCATGCCCAACTTAAAACCTGAGGTCTTTTTAAACTGAGTATTTCTACAGTCTCATTTCTGACTTCCATAGAGTGAGGGGTTATCTGTTGGTATATAAGTCATGTGAGCAGACAATTCAGGTTGGAGCCATGTTGTATTTGGAATGTTAATTTTTTTTTTTTAGTTGAACATTTGTAGCCAGGCAATGGTGTCATACCCCTTTAATCCCAGCGCTCAGGAGGCAGAGGCAGGCAGATTTCTGTGAGTTCAAGGCCAGCCTGGTCTACAGAGTTCCAAGACAGCCAGGACTGCAACAGTGAAACCCTGTCTCAGGGGGGAAAAAAGAACACATTTGAGCCATTTGTAGTGAATACTCTCACAAGGATATACTTCCAAGGCTGTGTATAATGGCCCATACTTTTAATACTATCACTTAGGAGGCAGAATCAGGCAGATGTTTGAGGCCAGCTTCATCTACATAGTATATTCCAGGCCAACCAAGACTACACAGTTGTCTTTCTCAAAACAAACAGACAAACTAAACAAGACTATATTTTCAGCCAGGCTAAGTGATGGCTTCCTGTATTCCAAGGTAGAGATTATAGGAGGTAGGGATGGTAGTGGGAAAACTGAGGTTCCCTTTTCAGATTCTTAGTCTCATTCATAAAAGAATTTAGACATGAGGAGAAAGTCATACCTTTTGAGTTAGGGTCCAACATGTTTGGCAAGCAGCCACATGGCAGGAGCAGAGACTGAGGAAACCCAGAGTGTGGATGAAAGCATGCCCAAAGTTTGGAAGGAAGAACGAGAAAAAGTTACATTTTTCTGGATAATTCAGAAAAGTGGTGTCTCCATAAGAGACTGCTTCCAGGGTGGGGTTTCTGAGAAGGAAAAGTATCTTATTAAGGGGATAATTATTCCTCCCTTCTTCTTCTTACCGTGGCTTGAGGAAAGCAGCCTATCTGAGGTGATTGATAGGCCCAACTGGATTGACTGTTTCGGAACTCCATGCAGAGCCATGAGTAGAATGGAACAGTTGAATAGACCTTTAAAGGCCCAGCTACCCCTTCCTACACACATGGTGTGACTCTGGCTGGCCTGGAACCTACAGTGTAGACCAGGCTGACCTTGAACTCATAAATCTGCCTGTCTCTGCTTCCTGAGTGCTAGGGTTAAAATCATGGAGCACCATGCCTTAGCTATTTTATTTTTAAATTACATGTATGTGTCTATATGTGGGTATGAGTGCAGGTGTCCTGGGAGGCCAGAAGACTTGGGTGCTGGGAATGGAACTCATGCCCTCTGGAAGAGCAGTGTGAACTCATGTGCTGAGCCATGTCTCCTGATTATTCTCTGTTTGTTTTGAGTAGGTTCTGCCGATCCTGTATTGCGACCAGTATAAAGAATAATAAATGGACATGTCCATACTGCCGGGCATACCTTCCTTCAGAGGGAGTTCCAGCAACTGACATAGCCAAAAGAATGAAATCAGAATACCAGAACTGTACTGAGTGTGGAACTCTGGTGAGTAACACAACCCATGTTCATGATTCTTCCAGTGAAATTATCATTCTACCTGCTCCATCTCTCCAACTCCCTGACGTTGGGAACAGGGTCTCATTCCGTAGCCCAAGGTGAATTTAAACTTGCTATCCTCTTACCTCTGCTTTGGAAGTATCAAGATTACATGCATGCCTACCACATCAGCTCCTTCAGTATTCATGTATATACATGAATATTCATGTATATGTATATACATGAATACTGAAGTGGACCCAAGGCTTCCTACACGCTGGGTGACTGTTATGCCACTGGCCCATATCCCCAGCCCTCAGTTTTACTTTTGATTTTGAGACAGAGTCATTAAGTTACCTATGCTAGCTGTGAACTGACTCTGTATCCCTAAAGTAGCTTGCATTACATGCTTGCCCCACCAGCCTTTTAAACATTCTTTTTGAAACTTGGAACTTTTACTTCATTCATCTGTTTTCTTACCACCATCCAGAGCTGAAAATTAAAAATTTTTGACTTGGATGGAATTTAAAGAAACATATGAGAATTCATGTCTTTAATCTCAGCACACCGGAGGCTGAAGCAAGAGGATCTGCTGCGAATGTTCAAGGCTAGCCCGGTCTACATAACAAGTTCCAGTCCAGCCAGGACTGTATAACAATACACTGTATCAGAACAACAGCAATAAAAACCCAAAACAAAAAGTCAATCCCCGCCAGTCGGTGGTGGCTCACGCCTTTAATCCCAGCACTCAGGAGGCAGATGCAGGTGGATCTCTGTGAATTGGAGGCCAACTTGGTCTTCAGAGTGAGTTCCAGGATAACCAAGGCTACATAAAGAAACCCTGTCTGGAAAAAAAAAAGTCTGGAGAGATGTCTCAGAGATTAAAAACACTGGCTGCTCTTCCAGAGGTCCTGAGTTCAATTCCCATCAACCACATGGTGGCTCACAACCATCTGTAATGAGATCTGGTGCCCTCTTCTGGCAAGCAGGCATACATACAGGCAGAACACTGCACATAATAAATAAATAAATCTTAAAAAAAAAAAAATCAATGCTCAGCAGTGGAAGAACATGGTTACTCTCTCTCCTTGCCTCAGAGCCTGGAAACCAGCTGAACTCGTTCCCCTGGCCCTTAAGGGATGACTCTGACTGAGGTAGCAGGAAGATGCTTCTCAGCTCCCCATAGTGATTTATTTGACTACCTGCACCCCTTAAGTTCTCAGGGCCCTTGTCTCCTGTAGGCTCCTTTCCTGTTATCATCTTTCCCTAGAGAGCTGTATGCTCACACTCCATGTGTCAGCCACTGCCAGGGCCCTGCAGGCAAGGACACTCGGGGAGCTTGGCACCTCCTCTAACATTGTACCCAACACTGATCCACTAAGGCTTTGGTACATTTAAAAACATTTATAAGTGTAAGGCTCAATAATCTATCATGGCCACCTGACCAGAATTTATACATATCCTTTGGGGACAAGCACCCTGAGATTAATTAATTAATTCATTCTCTCACTTACTGTTTCTGATTTGACACACATTGTTTGTTTTTATTAATGTATTTATTTTATGTGTATATGTGAGCACACATGGACCACCTTACCATGGTTGTTTATCCAAAACAACAGCATTCTCTCAGGTCCTGGGTGGAGTCCCCACCTGATTGCCGTCAGATTCTCACCTGAATCTCTGGTATCTGACCAGCCGCAGGATTTTGGTTAATGTTTGAGGAACTCTGCGTCACGCTCTTGCTCTCTAGGCTGTTCTTCTGTCCAGGAATGCTGCCTGTTCCTGTACAAGTTTCAGCTTTGCCTACCTCTCTGTCCAGGCCTGCTCTCCTCTCCATGCAGCCTGGCCTTAGTATTTTGAGTTCCTCTCAAAACAAATTCTTAGCTGCCTGTCTGCACCGATTTTTTCCTCTATCTGATTATCTGCAACGTTAGAATAGGCAAGAGGCTCATTGTCTACCTGCTCTTCGATGGCACCTTACATAGTTTTGTGTGTATGTCTAGATTATAAATTTAACAATCTATGTATTTGTCAGTGTACAATCCCCAGTTGATAATTTTTCTAAGGAAAGCTTATCTTTCTTGAACAAAGAATATGAATTTTTTTTGAAACAGTCTTAGCCTAGTCTAGCCTGAAACTTGTGATCCTCCTACTTCAAATCTTCCTCCCAAATCCTGAGGATTATGTGTATATCACACCTATGTAGCGCTAATTTTTTTCCTCCCTTCCTTCCTTCTCCTATTTTTTGTTTATTTGTTTGTTTATGGTGGGTCTCCCTTGTATGCCTGCATGGCCTGGGACTCACGGTATGGATCAGGTCAGGTTGGCAGAGATCACTTGCCTGTCCCTCTTAAGTGCTGGGATTAAAGGTATGTACCATAATGCCTGGCTCAGAAGTATATACATACTTACACACGATTAAACTAAGTAAAGAGAAGCTGTGTAAATAGGATTCTTAAATGACGTGACCAGCAGTGTTGTGTGAGTTCACAATGCACAGTACACTTAATAGTGCCACCAGGGCTAATAACCACAGCTCTTGTAGTCCGTCTGTATCAGAAGCCCTGATTCCGCACTGACAAACCCTCAGGGCTGTGCTGGTAGCACAGTACGCACCCTCAGCTTCATCAGGACCGCTGGTAAGATTTCCTGGTGGAGAGAGAGAGAGAGAGAGAGAGAGAGAGAGAGAGAGAGAGAGAGAGAGAGAGAGAGAGAACGAACAGGCACACATGAGCCACAGCTTGCATGTGGGAAGCCGGAGTACAATTTGTAGGAATTGGTTCTCTCCTTCTCCCTTGTGGGGACCTGGAATCACTTGTCAGGCTTAGTAACAGGTGCCCTTACCCACTGAGATATCTCAGCAGCCCCCAAAGTAGATATTATAGGTTATAAACATTTCTTTCCTCCTCCTTCCCTCCCCCCTCCCCCCCTCCCCCCTCCCCATCTCAGATAGGGTCTCACTGTCTAGCCCTGGCTGGCCTGGAACTCTGTGTAGACCAGGCTGGGCTGGAACTCGAAGATTTACTCACCTTTGCTTCCCAAGTGCTGGGATCAAAGTCATGCATCACTGCTGGGCTTATACCTTTAACCTAGCACTCAGAAAGCAAAGGCAGGAGGATCTCTGAGTTATAGAGCTAGTTCCAAGACAGCCAGAGTTACACAGAGAAACCCTGTCCAAACAAACAAACAAACAAACAAACAAACAAGAAGACATGCACCACCATGTCTGGCTATAGACACGTCTTTTTAAGATGGCTGCCTTGATCAGTCCTCCTTCTTATGTTTTTGATGGATACTTTGTCACTGTTTTCATGTTCTGGCTAGCTTTACTTCTTTCTGCCTTTTGTTAAGCGACTGTGGCTATTTCCATCACGTGGTAGAGTTTCTGAAGCTGAACTTCCAACGGAAGTTTGGGCGGAATGGGGCAGCGTGGGCTGGTTGTGGGCTGCCACCTAGCCACAGCTGTAAGAAGCTTCCTCCACCAGGAAATCTTACCAGCGGTCCTGATGAAGCTAAGGGTGCGTACTGTGCTACCAGCACAGCCCTGAGGGTTTGTCAGTGCGGAATCAGGGCTTCTGATACAGACGGACTACAAGAGCTGTGGTTATTAGCCCTAGTGGCACTATTAAGTGTACTGTGCATTGTGAACTCACACAACACTGCTAGTCACGTCATGAACTCACAGTGGCATTTACGACTTCACTTACACTGTGAGGTCTCCTTTACTTTATGATGGACACTTGCAAAATGTGTGCACTCAGTTGTCCTCATCTCCGTGTCTTTTCATCTCTTGTCAATGTTTCTCTGCTTCTCTTAGTCTTACTCTTTCTCTTCATCTAGTTTTCTTTCTGTCCAAAACCTATTTGCATAACAGCATGCAAAAAAAATCCTTTGTTACTATACATCTTTAAAAAAAAACAAAACAGCATGCTTTTTAGAAGGAACAAATTTAAAATCTCAACATTCAATGTTTCCAAAGTGTTAGGAGATGTTAAACGTAGTATATGATGATTGTGATGATGATGATGATGATGATTATATTATTATTATTAGTTTTTGGTTTTTCGAGACAGGGTTTCTCTGTATATCCCTGGTTGTCCTGGAACTTGATCTGTAGATCAGGCTGGCCTCACACTCAGAGATCCTCCGGTCTCTGCCTCTTAATGCTGGGATTAAAGGCATGCTCATCTGGCTCAGTGTTATTCTTGATAATGCCTGTACTTTGTGATTATTTCATGAATAAACCAGTTAATTACTGCCCCAATGTAACCCGGTTTGAGAGTTATAGAGCTGGGTCACATAAAGGCCCTTTCCAACAGGAGTTTTATCTTTATTTGCCTTTGTGTAGGTTTGCCTCAGTGACATGAGGACGCACATAAGGACTTGTGAGAAGTACATTGATAAATATGGGCCACTGCAAGAACTTGGCGAGACAACAACAAGGTTTGTTTGAATACAGTGTAATGTTATGCTAAATTCAGTATGTCTATGAAGAATTTAAGCTTAGCACTTGGGAAGCTGAGGCAGGAGGATACTTATAAGTCTGAGGCCATCCTGGGCTACACATGAAAGTACATGCAAAATTGAATTTGAACATCTCTTTTTGAAAAAGACTTTTAATTTTTATTTTATGTATCTTGCATTGTCTGTGCACCATGTGTATGCAGTGCCCACAGAGGTCAGAAGTGTCAGATAACCACCATGTGGGTATTGGAATTTGAACCCAGGTCCTCTGTAAGAACAGCCAGTGCTCTTAAGTGCTGAGCTATCTCTCCAACCCCAAAAATCTCTCTCTTTTTTTTTTTAATGGTGAGTGTATGTATGTGCGCCCAAGTGTATGTCTGCACCAAGTGGATGTAGGAGACTGTGGAGGTGGGAATTGTGTTGGACCTCCCATTGGAGTTATGCAGAGTGGTGAGCCCCTGTGTAGGTGCTGAGAACTGGACCTGAGTCCTCTGCAAGAGCAGCAAGTACTTTTAACCACCAAGCCATCTCTCCAGCCTAAAAGTCTAAGGCTCAGTCTGTTCTTTTTATTTTACTTGAAATTGCCTTGCTAATGTACCTGTTATTGCAGGATTTGTTTTATAAATGATGCCATAAATTTTAAATGAATATTTTTGCTACAAGTAAGCAGAGTGCAGATTCTGCTCGACTGACCAATAGGGAGGAAGGAAGACTAAAAAATAGAGGGAGAAAATATGGTTTTGACTGAAAGTTGATGGAGTTTATGAAATATTTAAAATACATAGAAACTAACTTAACCTCTAATTTCTTTTGCTGGTTAAAATTATAGTGAAGACTCTTGCAGCTAAGCTTGGTGGCACAGACCTTGGTCTCCAGTACTCAGGAGACCAAGGCAGAAGGATCAGCAATGCAGAGCTAGCCTATGCTACCTAGTAACTTTGAGGACAGCTTGAACATGCCGTGACAGTAAAACAAACAAAGACCCAGCCCAGTATGGTGACAAATGCCTATACCCACAGCATTCGAGGAAGCTGAGGCAGATGGATTGCTGTGAGCTTGAGGAAAGCCTGAGCTACATAGCAAGACTCTTGTCTCTAAACAAGCAAACCAGAAAAGCAAGCCAGGTGTGGTGGTGTATACCTGTAACCCCAGAACTTAGGGGCTAGAAGTAGGAGGACCAAGGTGAGCCTGAGTTACCGAGTGAGACCCTACCCCCCTCACAAAAGAGACGCTAACCTAGCTATAGTCTGTACAATCTATTTTTTTAAGTTTCTAATTAGGTGGCTACTTTCTAGCTCACCACTATTTTAGTGATTGTAATTCTGTGCTATTTCCAGATGTGTATGTCCATTTTGTCAGAGGGAACTGGATGAAGACTGCTTGCTGGATCATTGTATTACCTACCACAGATCAGAAAGGAGGCCTGTGGTAATGATTCTTACCTACTAGCTGTCTGTCAGTCTTTCTGTCTGTATATAGTATCTGAATTTAAGATCTATTAGACTCTAGGCCTGGTGGCTTGTGCCTGTCATCTCAGCACTTGGGAGGTAAGGAAGGACAGATGCTGCAGGTTTGAGGCTAACCTGGGCTACACAGGGAGTTCCATGCCAGCACTTACTTATTTTCTGATTTTAAAGTTACTACACATATTTATCTATGTGTTCACACAAAGTTCACATGTGGAGATGGGAGAACTTTGGGGAGTCTTTTGGGAGAGAACTTTCAGCATACTGAGAATTTCACCAACCCCAAGAAACTCTATTTAATATTGTGTTTCTGGGCATGATGGTACATACCTTTGGTAGGCAGAAACAGGTGGATCTTTGTGAGTTCAAGACAAGCCTGGTCTACGTAGTGAGTTCTAGGCTAGGCAGGTTTACAAGAGTGAAATCCTATAAAAAATTTTTTACTTCTTATTTATTTAGTGTGCATTGGTGTTTTGCCCGCATGTGTATCTATGTGAGGATGTCAGATCTTGGAGTTATAGACAGTTATGAGCTGCCATGAGGGTGCTGGGAATTGAACCCGGGTCCGTCGGAAGAACAGCTAGCTAGTGCTCTTAACCACTGAGCCATCTTTCTAGCCCTCCCCCCTTTTACTTCTCAAGAAAAAGATATTCAGCTGAAAAGATGAACACACAGGATCTCACCATGCAGCCCTAGCTGACCTGGAACTTTCTGTGTTGACCTGACTGGCCTTGAACTCACAGAGATCTTCCTAGCTATAAATATAATTTTTACTATTGAGATATATGAAGCCAAGTGTAGTAGCAGACAGGTGTTTAAGGCCAGCCTTAGCCACAGTGGGTTCGAAGCTAGCCTGAGCTACATGAGAAACAAAACAAAACAGCGCTAGGGAGATGGCTTCATCAATAAAGTGCCTGCACACAAGCAGGAGGACCTGAGTTCTGATCCCCAGCGCCCCCCTAAGACCCGAGTGTGATGGTGCAGTGCCCATCTGGAAGCCCAGGACTAGGAGTACAGAGACGAATCCTGGAGCTTGCAGGAGTACAGAGGCGAATCCTGGAGCTTGCAGGAGTACAGAGGCGAATCCTGGAGCTTGCAGGAGTACAGAGGCGAATCCTGGAGCTTGCAGGAGTACAGAGGCAAATCCTGGAGCTTGCAGGAGTACAGAGGCGAATCCTGGAGCTTGCAGGAGTACAGAGGTGAATCCTGGAGCTTGCAGGAGTACAGAGGCGAATCCTGGAGCTTGCAGGAGTACAGAGACGAATCCTGGAGCTTGCTGGCCAGCCAGCTCGCCTAGCCTAATCGCTTAGCTCCAGATTCAAAGAGAAGCTGTCTCAAAAAACAAAATAGGAGGGGGCTGAAGAGATTGCTCAGTGTTTAAGATTGCTGCTCTTGCAGAGGACCCAGGTTCAGGTCTCAGCAATCTATAACTTCAGTTGCAGGATATCTGATGCTCTCTCCTGGGTTCTATGGGCACCAGGCATGGATGTGGTACATATATCATATGCAGGCAAACACTCACACATGTAAAATTTAATAAATCATTTGTTAAAATCCTTAAAAACTATACAGCAACTTAAATACATAAAGTAGAAATGAAAAATAAAAGTAAATTAAGAACATGAGGTGGAGAACAATTGAGGAAAACACCTGACATGGACCTCTGACCTGAACACACACAGACATGACCCTGTACATACACATACAAACACACGAACACATACATATATCACACATGAAACTAGACAAACAAAATACAATGTTGAAGTATGGCCAATGGATTCATAGTTAAAATTCACATTCAATGGTGACTTCTTTTTAAAAATTCTGGGATTAATAGTTATTTAAAATTCCTTTTTTAACTATTTATTGGTCTTTCTTTCTAGTTCTGCCCACTTTGCCATTTACTACCTAATGAGAGCCCAAGCACCTTCAATGGCAGTCTAATTAGACACTTGCAAGTCAGCCACACTTTGTTCTATGATGATTTCTTAGTAAGTATATTTCTAACTTTTACATTGTGTGTTTGTGCTATCTGTGTTAAGTGTCCTTTTTTAAATCCCTGTGAATAAAATGAAAAATAAAATAAAATTATGAAGCATGTGGGTAAAGTGTTCAGTGTTAGCATTAGCATTAAGGAGAACATCAAGACAGCCGAGTGCTTTATAGCATTCACTACTAATATTGAAGTGGTCTTCTTTAACCAGCTGTGGTGGTGCATACCTTTTTTCCCAGCGCTTGGAAGGCAGAGGTGGGCAGAGCTCTGTGAGTTCAAGACCAGCCTGGTCTACATAGTAAGTTCCAGGCCAGCCATAGTAAGACACTGTCTCAACGAACCAACTAAAATGATGCAATGGACTTCCAATAGCGATTTCACCTTTTGTTTTAGAAGCAAGAGGGACTAGAGAGGGATAGAGTTCTTACTGCCTCTTGTTTTTACTAATAGAAGTGCTGATAAGAAGCTTAAATTTTACTTTGACACATAAAGAAGCAAGAAGAGCATTTTTTTTTTTTTTTGGTTTTTTTTGAGACAGGGTTTCTCCGTGTAGCTTTGAGCCTTTCCTGGATCTCGCTCTGTAGACCAGGCTGGCCTCGAACTCACAGAGATCCGCCTGCCTCTGCCTCCCGAGTGCTGGGATTAAAGGCGTGCGCCACCACCGCCCGGCAAGAAGAGCATTTTGTTTGTATTTTCCTGTCCATAAATCAATAATTAATAGAACTGTTAGCATTCTGAGTCCTAGGAGTGGCCTGATTTTTTTCCCCAGTGCTAGAGATCGACCCTGGAGTCTTGCCCATTCTAGGAAAATGCTGTCGTTCAACTCTGACCCTTCCCCAAACTAGCAGGAATGTGTAAACATTATTCCAGTTGTGAAATAGAGAGACCATCCTGACCTGACAAGGCTTTCTTTTACTTTTCTAAACCTTCAGATTTTAATTTGCTTTTTACTTATATGTCTAGGTGTATGTTGTGTGTGTGTGTGTGGGGGGATGTTTGTCCAATGAAGTCAGAAAAGGACATCAGAGTCTTTAGTGGTTATGAGCCACCTGATGTGGTGGTGTAGAGTTTGAGACTACGGAGAAAAGACCCCAGAGTCAATTCAGAGTATAATTAAATAAATTTATCAAGGCTACTAGCAGGGATACAATCTTTAACCCGAATCAGAGATGTGCCTCGCAGAAGCAGGTGAAGGAGGGGCTTTTAAAGCCTTTCATCCACAAGAACTATTCTGCTGTGTGGAGATTAGATAGTGGAGGTGACCTCAAAATAGTCCTTGAATGTCTGTACAAGTAAGTCACAGAAGCCAAAATCGGCAGTTAGTCATCATAACAAGCAGATGGTCACAGCTGTGCATTTCTGGGTGGGGGTCAAGGAGTCAGGGTTGCTGGGAACTAATCTTCCAGTAACTTGAGTCAGAGACAAACGGCTATTAGGTACCAAGGTGGATGCCTAATACAAAATGGAGTTTCTTTAGCCATCACAGTGGGTGCTAGGAAATGAGCTCAGGTCCTCTGGAAGAGCAGTTTGTGTTCTTAACACTGAGCCATTCTTCCAACCCAGGTGTCTACTATTCTCTTTAAACTATTAATTAAGACTTGATGGCAATTCCTGAAAGGCCAGTGTAGTCAAACAGGAAACGGTAACCTCCAATAAGTTCTAGGTCTGACAGGCTTCCTGGAATGATGGACAGGCCATGGAACTCAGGGAGCTTGTTTCCTGAAAAGTGAGCATTGCGTTGAGCCTGGTGCCACCCCCTCCCATTTCTGAACCACTACTATTTCTAATCATTCTTTTCTATTGTAGGACTTTGATATAATCGAGGAAGCCCTTATCCGAAGAGTGTTAGACCGCTCACTTCTTGAATATGTGAACCACTCAAACACCACATAATTTTATAAATAGCAAGGGACCATTCACTTATACCATTTAAGATGCTGCTTGAAGGACTGGAGGGAAATTGCCAATGTTTGATGGAGAAAACTGTACTACAGTGTTACACACTTGTCTTTGCTATGTTGCATTCAAAAACTGCTTTCATTCCGGTTTAGAACTGCCTTTACATTCTTGAGTTTGGTAGACATGTAACCACAGGCAATAGTCTCCATAAGCTATTAACAGATGGAAGAGACAGAGGCTGAGTATGTGGTGGAGGAGCTCCATGTGCACATTGGTGATGCTGTGCATAATGCTACATGTTCATGACTATCATCATGGTTAGGCAAGATAACCAATCTCTGTTCTGCACAAAAAGATGGAGAAAGGAACAAAATATGGACATTAAAGGAAATCTGAAATTTATTCAAATCTTCATGCTCTAATCTCCAATAAAGGAATGTAAATAACCTCATGTGAAAGGAGGAAAGGAAAGAACTTGAAATCAACAAAATCCATTTTAACCAAATTACAGTACCTAATACTCTAATGGATTTTGTGTTTGGAATGTATACTTAGTTGGGCATGGTGGTGAATGCCTGTAACCCAAGTATTTGGGAGGTGGAAGGATCAGAAATGTAAGGCCAGCCTTGGCTAATGAGACCATAAAAAACATTAAAAAACTGAAAAAAGATTATGTGGACTTAACTATTGGCATACTATATATGCACATATAGAAATTTGATGGAATATTTTTCAAATATTTGTAGCTTATTATTTAGAGGTGTTTTATAATATAAGTGATTACTTAAGACCAATCTGTGGTTAACGTTTTCACATTAGTAATTTTGAGTGGAACTCCTAAGCTTTGTTTTTAATTTTAACATCTTAAAAAGTATAAAATAAAGCACACATACTAAAAACCAGATGCAAAATGTATAGCTTAATGTGTTATTATAAGAAACATTAGTACTCATGGATGGTGACATGCGTATGCCTGGGAGGCAGAGCAGGATTGCTTCAAGTCCAAAGCCAACCTGGGCTACAAGTTGCAAGCCTGCTTGTGCTAGTGCAAGACCTTGTCTCAAAACCAAAGAAACAAAAGCATTATGAACTCATGTATTTAGACATCTATGAATGGACTTCCATCGATTACAAATGTCACTTTATTGAGGTCCGACTCCTCTTTTCTTTGGCCATTCCTTGAAGGTCCTTTGAACACTTTATTACTTTCCTTGCTGTTTTCTATGGCAAGATCCTCCATGAGGAATTTGTGTTTGCTATTATGGACCTGAAATCACCAACTCCCTCAGAAGCCTGATTTCTTTCTGTGCAGAATGACATTTCAAATCACAGTCGGAAGCTGGGGATGGTAGCACATGCCTGTTAAGAGGATCTGTTGTTCAAGATCTTCCTCAGCTACATAGCAAGGCAAGTAGAGCCTAGGCTACAAGAGACCCTGTCTCAATCCACCCCCCTCCCATTTTTATTCCAGAAAAAGTCGGATAATTGCTGCTATTAAGGTGGCCATTGTTTCAGGGGAAGAGCTAGGGAACAGCTGTTTGTTTAAAGATAGAATACTTTATGACCAGGCTTGGTGGTCATGGTAGTCATGGTAGTTCAGGATGGTTGCTAACTCGAGACCCTCTTGCTTCAGCCTCCTGTGTGTGAGGATACAGGTCTGTGTTACCATGCCTGGCAGTTATTCCCCATTTTCAAAAATAGTTTTATTGTGCCAACATTTGTTGTTATGCTCTACTCTCTCCCTTTTTATCCCCCAGTTCTTCAGGTGTATTTATTATTACTGGAGTTTTTCACATTTGATTCTTTAATGACACATTCAGGACACTGATTAGAATTTCCATCTTGAAATGAAGAGAAAAGTAACAGAGACTGTGGCCATCAACTCCTGGGGGTGAAATGCTATTTGACTTAAATTTTCTTTAAATGGCTGGTGAGAGGGCTCAGTAGGTAAAGGCACTTGCTGCCAAGCCTAACAATCTGAGTTTGATCCCTGGGGCCCACGTTTGTGAAAGAGAACTGACTCCCACAAGTGCCGATGTAATGGGTACCCCCCCCCACACCCACACCCACAAATGAACATAAAACAACTTAAACTGTAATCACTTATAAGCATCATTTGTTACACTTCAACATTGTCATAATCATGGTGCCATGATTTCTTCCCCCGTTTTTGAGACAGGTTCTCGATATGTATACCTGGCTGATCTGGAACTCACTGTGTAGAGCACACTGGCCTCAAACTTTGGGTAATCTTCCTGCTTCTAGCTCCTAGTGCTGGGATTTAGATGTGGCCACTGCTTTCTAAAATTTCTCTAATGAATTTTCCATGACTACTTTGATGTTGCTCCTGTTTTCTCACCGGGACAAGGCCACTTGGGAGATATAAAGCAGGGGAAGAAAAAGATTTCAGGACATCCCTTTCTTTCCTTCGTTTCTCTTTTGGTGTTAGATTAAAATCAAGAACTGATGTGCATCAGGCCAGTGCATCAGTCAATCTGTGTTAATTTAGAGCCATAAAGTCATTACACCTATAAGTAAGTTTAAAACTCCATTCTGGGGGCTGGAGGGATGGCTCAGTGGTTAAGAGCACTGGCTGCTCTTCCAGCGGGTCCCAGTTCAATTCCAGAACCCGCATGGCAGCTCACAACTGTCTGTAATTCCAGCTCCAGGGCATCCGCCGACACACTCACACAAACATATATTTAGGCAAAATGCCAATGCACATAAAATAAAAATAAACATTGAAAAAATTAAAAGAAAAATAAAAACCTCTTCTGGATAACCAAGATGGCTCAGCAGGTAGACTGCTCTCTGTGCAAGTCTGCCACCCAAGTTTGTCTGATCCCCAACAGCTCATGGCGGAAGGAAAACTGACTCTGGAAAGTTGTCTTTTCACCTCTGCACATGCACCATGGCATGCTCATGTCGGAACTCACATCAGCACACATAAAAAAATAAAAATAAAATAAACGGGGTTGGGGGGCTGAGGAGATGATGACTCAGCAGCTAGGGTGCTTGCCACTCCATCGTGAGGTCCGAGGTCCCAGCACCCATGTGGGATAGCTCACTCTAGCAGCTCTTCTGGCTTCCACTGGTACTTGAGAACACAGGTGCCTGAGCATACGCACTCACACAAAATACTTAAAAATAACAAAAAATTAAGAAACCCAACAACCGAATTCTAAATTGAGCATGGTGACTAAAGTCTGTAATCCAGCACTTGGGAGGTAGAAGCAAAAAGATCAGAAGCTTGAGGCCAGCCTCAGCTACCTAGCAAGTTTAGGCTAGCCTGGGGTTACACATGACTCTGCCTCAAAACCAAAGCCCTGTGTTCTAAGTCCTAAGTTGAAGTCATGCTTTGCTAACAGTGCAGGGACACACTCAGAAGTCTACCTGAGGTTGGTGTGTTTGTTTTTTAATTTTGTCACCTACAGGATAAATTAGGTGCTGGCCGCCTGAGGTATTTTGTGTTCTGAATTGCTGCAGTTTGAAAATGATATGCAGATATCCTTCCACTGTGCTTTGACCTTTTTATAAAAAGGAGTTTGTAATTCATTGCTTTAAAAAGTAAAAACCAGTATTCAAAGTTGTTGATTACCAATAAAAATCTTTCATGTGCTTTTTTGTAAATACTGCCTCATGCTACAACTTTATCAAGGGGGGAAAAAAACAATTCCAATGATATTTTAAAACGAGGTTCTGCTAAACTTTGGTTGGAAAATGAACTGATTGTGGACGCTCCTAAGAACCCCTGAGGATGGTAATGTTGCTTCCCTACTGTTACTGAGCATTCTGTGTGCTTCATTTTAAAGTGAGCTTACTCCAGTTTTTGAATGGTTATCAGATGATAATTTGTATACTCACACATTAAAAGTATTTTTTAAGTACTAAGAGATTCATTCTTTTATTGTTCAAATGTAAAAAGAACTTCTGATCAAAATTTAAAACTTGTAATTCTTTTTCTTTTGAAAACTATTATTATGAGAAATAAAGAATGGCAGGACCATTGCTTTCATTAAAATATCCACTGTGTCTATTTGGTTTTTCTTATTTTTATGGTACTGGGTATTGAACCTAGGATCTCAAGCATGCTGGTCAAGCATTCTAGTGCCAACCTACATCTCTAGTCCTCTTCCTTTTTAAGACAGAATCTAAATTAGTTGCCTAGGCTGCCCTTGAACTTGTAATCTTCTGTCTTAGCCTCTTAAGTAGCTGGGATTACAAGCATGCGTCACCATACAGTTTTTGTTGCTTTGAGACAAGGTTTCACCATGTAGCCCTGCTGGCCTGGAATTTGCTTTCATAGCCCAAGCTGGTCTTGAACTTGTGATCATTCTATCTCTGCCCAAGTGCTGGGATTGTAGCTATGCACTGCTATTTCTGGCCAAGTAGGTTAGAAAAGCCTTTGCCCCTCTTCTTTGCAGTACTAGGGCAGAAAACCAGGACACATGCACAGTTCCAGCTTACCTTTTCAATTTCAGTGGACACCGTGGTGCTCAGAATACCAGGTTTTTAAAACTGCTGTTACGGGTATTTGGAGTGTTAGTGATGAGGGGCTAACTTCTGCACTTTAGAATATTGAATATCCTTAGTCTCTGCCTAGATCCCAAGCCAATAGCATACTGTTCCCAGTTAGGACAACCAGACATGTCTCTAGACAATGATAACGGCTATTGGGAATAGAATCTTTAGTTGAGAACCACTGAACTAAATGAAAATTACTTTTGTGGTTGATGTTACTTAGCAACCGTTAAAAACAAAGAAGTGGGGTGTACCTCAATAAGAAAGTTTGCTTAGCATTGTTGATGGCCACCTTCAGTTAAGAAGGAGTTGTGGTCAAGCCTGAGATACATGGGACTCTGTCTCAAAAAAAAAAAGTGCTTCTACATTGCCTTTGGGCTGGGGATGTGTCTTAGAGTGCTTGTCTCTCACACACATCTGTAGGTTCAATCCTTAGCACCAAATAAAATAGGTGTGGTTACACTTGCCTGTAATATCAGCCCTGAGGAGGTATAGGCAGGAAGAACAGGTGTTCAGAGTTATCCTTGGTTTTATATTGAGTTTGAGGTCAGCTTGGCCCACTAAATATACACATTCTTATATTTCAGGAAACACACATTTAAAAAAGTTTTAATATAAATATATATGTATGTGTGTGTGTGTGTGTGTGTGTGTGTGTATGTGTGTGTGTATACCATGTGCATGCAGGAATCCTTAGGTTAGAAGCATCAGATCCCCTGGAACTGGAGTTACAGTTGTGAGCTGCCATGTGGGTGCTAAGAATGGAACCCAGGTTCTCTGCAAGAGAACTGATTTTGACCACTGAGCCATCTCTCCAGCCAGAAAAGAACACATCCTAGTTTTTGGTTTTGTTTTTTGAGACAGGATCTTAATATATAGCTCAGGCTGGGCCTAGAAGTCAGAAATCTGCCTGCCTCTACCTCCTGAGAACAGATTAAAGATGTGTGCCACCATTCCTGAATCAAAACAAAACAAAACAAAAACCGAACACATCTTTCATTTGTTAATGATTCCCAAGTTTGAATAAAATTAACTAAAAGTTACCATGGCAAAAATGTATATGAGAGCCAGGTGTGGGGGCACATACCTATAAACTTGGCGTTTAGAGGCTGAAGCAGGAAGACAGTTTAGTTCTAACCTGAGCTGCATGAGGAGTTCAAGACTAGACTTCAAAACTTAGTGAGAATTTGTTTTGTTTTGTTTTGTTGTTGTTGTTGTTGTTGTTTTGAAACAGGATCTCATGTAGCCCAGACTGACTTCAAATTCAACATATAGCTGAAAAACAACCTTGAACTCTGTTACTCAAATGTTAGGATTACCAGTACCTACCATCTCATCTTCTCTTTTGTTTTGTTTTTGAGACAGGATCTCACTATGTAGCCCTGGTTGTCTTGGAACTCACTATGTAGACTAGGATGGCTTCGAACTCACAGACATCCACGTCTTTTTTTTTTTTTTAACAGAGGGCCTAAAATGCAACATTATACTATCCTTTTATAAGATTTCAAGTTTGTGTTCTGCAGAAATTTGGGCCTTGGGGCCTGCTGATTTGAAACCCTTTACAGGGGTGTTGTAGAATATTATTTTAACGAAGCAAAGATGTGTTATATTTGTTCATGCTGCAGAATATTACTTGAATTGTGTAAAGGTGTGTTTCTTTTGTTTATGCTGCATTTATTTAATTATGAAAAAAAATTGTTGCATTTGTTACACCTTGCCTGCCTAAGGCACCTGATTGGTCTAGTAAAGAACTGAATGCCCAATAGCTAGGCAGAGAAAGGATAGGCTGGCAGGAAGAGAGAATAAATAGGAAGAGAAATCTAGGCTCGAAAGGAGAGAGAGGAAGAACGAGAGAAGATGGAGGAGAGAATGAAGGACATGTCTGGGGCGAGAAGCCAGGCAGCCACCAGACAGACAGACAGAAGCAGTGAGAGTAAGATGTACAGAAGTGAGAAAGGTAACAAGCCCTGAGACAAAAGGTAGATAAAGAGAAACAGGTTAATTTAAGTCAAAAGAGCGAGCCAGAAACGTGCCTAAGCTAGGCTGAGCAATTCAAAACTAGTAAGTCTCTGTGTCATGATTTGGGAGCTGGTTGGTAGCCAAAAGAAAAAGGCTGGTACAGAGAGAGAATAACTTCTCCCCCCAGTATTGGGCATTGAACCTAGGGCCTTGCACGTGCTACTCAAGTTCTCTACCACTTAACACCCCAACCTTCCCAGTTAAAAACAGGCAGTAAAATAATACAATTCATAGAAACAGGAAACGGAATGGTTTCCAGGGGTTGGAAGAAGAAATGGGGAGTTACTGTTTAATGGGTATAGACTTTCAGTTCAGCAATAGGCAAAAGTGCTAAAACCTGTTGTACAAACCAGGTGTATAGCTGATACTATGATACTGTACATTTAAAAGTGATCAAAATGGGTAAGGGCTCAATGGTTAAGAGCACTGGCTGCTCTAGGTCCAATTCCCAACACTCACAGGACAGCCCTCTTCTGGCTTTTGCCAGAATTGCATGCACACGGTGCATAGACATGCAGACTGGCAAAACACTTAAACACAGAGAAAGAAAGAAATCTTAAAAATATTTATATCAGCCAGGCAGTGGTAGTGCACACCTTTAATCCCAGCACTCAGAAGGCAGAGCCAGGCAGATCTCTGTGAGTTCAAGGCCAGCCTGGTCTACAGAGTGAGATCCAGGGCAGGGACCAAAACTACACAGAGAAACCCTGTCTCAAAAGACCAAATATACATATATTTGTATTAGGGGCTGGAGAGATGGCTCAGAGGTTAAGAGCACTGGATGCTCTTCCAGAGGACCTGGGTTCAATTCCCATCACTCATATGGCAGCTCAAAACTGTCTATAAATCCAGTTCCAGTGCACATAAATGCACATAAAATAAAAATAAATCTTAAAATATTTCTATTAGATTTACTTATTTTATAAGTATTTTGCCTGAACGTGTGTATTGCACTATGTCCATGATTGTTGCCCATGGAGGTCAGAAGGGGGCGTCAGATACCCAGGAACTGGAGTTACAACTCCTCTTTATATGTGCTGAGCTGTCTCTCTACTACCACCCCCAAATAGATCTTTAAAAAATTATGTAGATGGGTTTTCTTTTGTGTGTGTGCTTTTGTGCATGTGAGGATTGCATGGAGGCTACAGATTGGTGTCTTCATCAATCACTCTCCACCTTGTTTTGTTTTTGTTTTTGTTTTTGTTTTTTGTTTTTTGTTTTTTTATTTTGAGGCAAAGGTCTCATTATGCAGCTCTGGCCAGCCTGGAACTTGCTATGTAGACCAGGCTGGCCTCAAACTCACCTGCCTCTGCCTCAAAAGATATATACCACTATACCCAGCAGCTTATTTTTGGAGACAAGGTCCTCACTAAACTTGGATTTTGCTGATTTGGCTAGAGTGGCTGGCCAGTCAGTCCCGAGAATCCTTCTATTGCTGCCTCGCCTGCATGGGGATTACAGGTGTGAACTTCCATATCTGGCTTTTTAAAAACGAACATATACCATGGATTCTGGGGAATCAAGGTTAGGTCTTCTTGCCTGTCCAGTGAGCACTTACTAAGCTGTCTCTCCAGCTCCTACGAGTCTACATTAGCGTTGTTTTTCTCACCCCAATTCTCTCTCTCTCTCTCTCTCTCTCTCTCTCTCTCTCTCTCTCTCTCTCCTCTTTCACACACACACACACACACACACACACACATACACGAGCATTTTCTTTTTAAATGAGTTTAGTAAATTATAGTTGTCAGTGAAATTTGGAATAAAAGAAATGTCATCTCACTGGCAATGCTCCTGAACTTTCAAAAATAAAGCATTTAAATATAGAGACTGAGAAACTCCTTGTCGCTGGTTTTCACCCACGGGTTTCTGATCAGACTTCTGATAAAGCTCTAAGCACACAGCCTTGTTTGAACTTTTCACCTTTCTTGTGCTGCTGCGGGTCTCCTCTGGCTGATTGCTAGTCAGGGTATATCACCCCCATTTTGTGTTCATTTGTGTTTTGTTTTGAGACAGGGTCTCATTATGTAGACCAGCCTGGCTTGGAATTCACAAAGAACCTCTTACCTCTGTCTGGTACTTAAGTTGTGTGCCACCATGATTACCCCTCTACCCCATTTTAACATTTTGTTTTGCAATGATGGGATGGAGTCCAGGACCTTGCACTTCTAGGCAAGCATTCTAGCATTCAGCTACATCTCTAGCCTCCCCACTCCATTTCAGCTTAATTACTTCTTTCAAGTATTCTATCACTGAGTTACACACATAGAAATGGACTGATTTTTTTTTTTTTGGCGGGGGGTGGGGGTGCCTTGTTATGTTACCCAGGTTGGTCTTGAACTCCTGGGACCTAGTGATCCTTCTGCCTCAGTCTCTCAAATAGCCTGGACTATAGTGTATGACATTGGACATGGCTAAACTTCTCTCATACACATTTTTTCCCAGATGGATTGCCATGTAATCCAGACATGCTGATTTCTAGGTTG